ACCATACAAAATTTGAAAACGATTGATTCAGCCGTCTAGGAGTAGTTTGCGTATTACGAAATGCATAAGAGTCGACGTATAAGAGCTTCGCTCGCTTCGCTCGCTCCGCTCAATAAATAATTTGTCTTTCAAACACTATACAACACGTTTTTAGGTTCAGCTGGCAACACAAATGGTGCCCTAGAGAAAGTAGTACCCGCGGTCCGTATCACTCCGCTATTTTTCCTCGGCAAGAAATGTGCTCCGCGTTTTGAGAATATAGTTCCGTATGTTTTTGTAATTTGAAGTGGTTTCCGCGCCTAAAAAAATGCTTTAAAGGTATTTTCTTGTTTATTAAGATCGTAGGAATGTTTTAAAAACGTTTAAAAGAAAAGTCCAGAAAGTTCAGAAATACCGAAACTATAAACACGAAATGACAGGTTAAATCGTAGTTATAATAGTCAATCAGCTGCTCATAGTATTATTATCTTTAAGTGTTGCCAACCTATTTCCAAGCGTACACGGATTACGTGCATAATAGAACCACGCTGTTTTGTGTTGTTTCGTTGGAATCCTGATGTGCGGCAAAGTATAAACCGTACGACAAAGTATAAACCGTACGGCAAAGTATAAATATGCAGCAATTAGCAGCTTTCTGTACTATAAACAGTACAAGGAAGCCAACTTTGTCGGGTGACTGTAGGAAAAATAAATACTCAGTTCATTCATTCACAGTAGTTTTTGTGGCAGTGACGTATGTCTCTTGTCTGCTCTTCATAGCTCACACGTAGATTTCTTTCGAGAAATTATAAGTGATAATCTTTATTAAAAATAAGTGAAAAACTGTTGACATTTTCAAGGAAGAAAAGTTAAGAAATAAAAATGTTAAAATAAAAAGGTTGTTTGATTAGTTATTCTGTATTTCAAAAATATCCTCATTTATGAATGTGTTTTCAGCTAGACTTGGTGACTTTTTCATAATTTATATATTTGTTTAATTTTGAAGATATATAACTGTTTCTATAAGCCTATTTATAAATTAGAGAAAACTTAATTAAATCTCATGCCTTAGTCAAATTGAAACATTTACAGTAGGCCTATTTTAAAATAAACACAATTAGTTCCATATTTTTGCAATTGTTTTTTTTTTTACAATTAATAATAAACGTTTAACACCAAAATATAAGTTTGATACACATACATATTGTGTTTTTTTATGATATAACAGTTTATAATATTATTAGTGGAAGAAACTGTGCAAAAAAGATAGGTATCGGAAGTATCGGTATCGATAGGTATCGAGAGTACTTTGGTGGTATCGGTATCGACAATTTTTGGTATCGGCCCATCTCTAGTTCTATGTTAAATGATGCATAACAATGGATAGACACTCGAAATTCAATATTTTCGACCTTAATTACTTAAATTGGCCGTACTGAAAATTTTGCATCTCCGACAAGAGGTCCCTTTTCGCTTTCTACATCACATATTTTAAATAAAGAATAAAACATACGTTGTAGTTATCAATTAATTATTCAGAAAGACCATGGCAGGCAATAAATTATAACATCTTCTCCCCTCCAAGAGAACTAAGCATTAGAACATTTGATTTCTTTTTCTTTTTTTTCTTTCTTTTTTTTTTAGCATTAATTAGTAATTTTTGGTCGAGTTTGCGAAGGCTAAATTTGGTACTCCCTAGTTTATTAGCAATTTTCACTTTGATCTTACGTTTTCTACTTCAATGTTTGATTTCTTTGAATATTATTTCAGAATACTTCTTATTCTTCTGGTTATCACTGCCAAGTGGCTTCACAAGAGTTTTCAGTTTTTCTAAGCTAGAAACAACTGACTTGACCATTTTCACTTCTAGTGGCTGGTCATCAACCGATTTAACCTTCTTCACATTTAGCTCTTTCTTTTTACCCTTGTCGGAGTCTGTGGACTTGAACTATTTGTGTTTTGTCTCCTCAAAGGCGTGTTTCTTCTCATTCTTCATCTTGTGTTTGGGATCCAGAAGTGCTCGCTGTTTGTCGGCCTCCATATTGGCTTGCATTTCCATTGGGACAAGACCAGTTTTGCGTTTGAGCTCATCGGTCTTCTGCTCGTGCCGCCACCAGAGTTTCTCAATCTCTAGTTGTTGAGAATGTCTCATTGCCTCCACAGCTTCTGAGTTTGAGTCTGAAGGGGACTGGAGAACTTCAGGCGGGGGAACTAACGCTGGTGTACTGATCACACTTGGCAGCCGAGGAGGGTTGGGTAGTCCTACTTGCGGGCCGTGGGTCTCAGTGGGAACTTGGTCACAGTGTCTACAATCATCGAGTCGTCTGAATCAGTCTCTTCACACCTCTCAACACCAGTGGCTGCCGAGTCCTTAATCACACTCATGCAGAGGCTCTTGGAGATGTTCTCACTTCTGATCTCCTTAGCCTTCTTCTGCGAAGAGTCACTTTCCGTTACCACCATGATTGTTAACACACACAGTCTTTCTCACTCGACGACCGTCGGAATTGTCGACTCGTCTCATCCAGCACCTCCGATTTCTGCTTCGACGGCCTATTCTCCTTAAACTTTGTCACAGTACTAGACCTTCTGTGCAATTTAGCTGGAATTCCATTACTTCTGCTCGTATCACTTTTTGTGGACTTTTTACTGTCACTTGACTTGTCCTGGTTGATAATCAAAAGAGGTGATTCTTCTATAGAATTTTCTGATTTGACCGCATTCGATTCTTGCCCTTTTAAATTTTCAGTCGATTTTAAACTCTTCAAGGGAAATAATCTATTTTCCGTAGCAATCCGGTTTTGTAATGATCTTCGACCTTTTTTGTTGTTTCTTCTAGTACCTCAATTGCTCGTTTTGTTCCAAATGAACCGACTTTGAATTGGTCAAGAGTGTTTTCTCCATAGTTTTCGTTTTGAAAGCATTCTTTTACCATATTATGTAGTTTGTCATTGTTAAATGTTGTCAAATTAAAATTTCCATCTATTCGACCATCAAACTTGGCACACTTTCCATGCATAGTCCAACCTAGATAACTCCATGACAGGATAGGAGAATTTTTAGGTTCTTCTATCACTTTTCTTGTTAAAATAAGAGCTGCATTGTCTTGTCCGATCAAAATAGAGGGTTTGGAATGTATCGAAGGAAGGGGCTGGTCAATTTAGTGGTAACTGTGTCCGGACGTTATGAAGGGTGAATACCTCATCCTCGTAAAGTCCTTTTATTTTGAGGCTAACTTTACGAGAGTTAGATTCAAAGTTACATGTTGAGTTTGACCAACAGGTAGTTAGGGGCTCTATATCTCTCTCGACTCCTAACTTGTCGGCTGTGGTAGAGTCAATGAGTGATATTGTTGAACCTTCATCTAAAAGTGCAAAGTATCAATTTGGCCCTTGGGCCCATAAAGAGTAACGGGACATACCTTAAGCAGAACTTGAATTTTGTTCTGTGTGTTTACCGGTTATTTCTTTTGTTTTGACAGTAGAATAGTCAGAGTCTTTATTTTCATGAGAGGAAGAATAGACCTAGGTTCTTTTTTGGTGTACAAAGGTTTTTTAAGTGTAGTATCTGTGTGTAGTAAGCGACTGTGGAATAGTTTATAGTTATTAATACCACAAGCTTTCTTTATATTACAGAACTTTATTGGCTGTTGGCGAAAACAGTATAAACACAACTTCTTACGTGTTAAAGTGTCAGATTTGGGACGGAAATAAATAATCATGAGTGAGCACTGGTTTTTCTAACCAACTAGAAAGATCTTTTAGGTCTGGCTTATTTAAAGATAATGATCTCACATGCTGGGCCCAATTATACTTGAGATTATAAGGTACTTTGTCCATTAGTTCCATCAATAACTGAGGGTTTGTCATATAGTGCTCCATTTTTAAGGATTCAGCTGTCGTAGTAAAATGAAGGAAACAAGTGGAGAATTCTATGAGACCATTGATGTCTTCCTCCTTGACTGGAGGTAACATTCTGGTCTTCCTTTGCATTGATTCCAGAATCAATTTTGGCCTACCAAACCGCATTTGTAAAGTGGAAATCACCGTATTCAAATTTTTGCCACAAACAAGGGCTTAACAAGGCTTACCATTTTGAAAGCCTCACCTTCAAGTGAATTTCTTACTCTGATGAGGTTGACTTCCTCATCAAAGGAAGCCTTTGTCTTTTCATAAGCGGAATAGAATAAAGGCCAACCCTCCGGTTTCCCACTAAATGAAGGAAGGTGTTTGCGCAAAGATTGGATGGCATTTGACTTATCTGAATGAATGGCTTGTCTAAAAGAATCTGCTAACTTCTCTACTGCTGAAGACACAATAGCTGATGATGACATTTGAACGACATTGGACTCTTGTTCTTTGTCATCTAGCCATTTTTCAACTTTGTTATAGGACTCTTCTTTTAAGTCATAATTTAAGTCTATAATAGATCTTTCCTCTGAAAGTGAGTCTTGCCTGCGACTGACTGATGCAGACTTCAGTTCAGCCCTCACCTCCAACAGTCTTTTCTGGCGTTCTAGTTCCCTCTGATCCAATTTTCGTTTTCGTTCCATTTCATCCAATTTTCGTTTTCGTTCCATTTCATCTAATTTCTTTTGACATTCCATTTCATCTAACTTCTTTTGACATATCATTTCATCTAACTTCCTTTGACGTCCCATCTATGTTGGTTATAATTCTTTTTCCAGTCTGTTAATTTCTTATATTTTTTCCAATTCATTTCATCTAACTTCTTTTTACATATCATTTCATCTAACTTCTTTTGACGTCCCATCTATGTTGGTTATAATTCTTTTTCCAGTCTGTTAATTTCTTATATTTTTTCCAATTCAAGTCATGAGATTAATTTTAGGGCCTACAATTTAAAATATATAGCCTATTTTACTATCAAACAGTTTTTAATTTATAAAATTGCATTATTGGATTAATTCCTTCCTAATGAGTTAGCCCTAGAACGTTAACAGTTTGATATAACAGTGAGTTGTGTTTCCCAATCCATAACATGATGTTTTTCTTTTACAGACTTGTTGCAATGTTGACAAAAGAAGAGAAACAGGTAAAACTGTCATTAGACACTTCCCATTGCTGTGTGGATCATAATACAAATCCTAGGCCTATACTTGTCGGCTTACCTCCTAAGTCAATACTATCTAAAATACCCTCAGTGATGATCGCTATGAGATACCAGGCGGCTGTAAGAGAACACCTGGATCAGCCTGAAACCAACCATCATCATAGCAATGGTTCTTTCCACTCCACTGTTCACCCGGCTCTTGCGTCTGCACTCACTGATCCTCTGGCAACCAAAGTTAAAGGGAATTATCAACAATTAGTTCAAGAAAATCGACAAGTCCAACCACAACTAGTTCATCAACATCATAGAGTTCAACAACAGACTCCACCCGGATTTCACCTAAGACAGCAATTGATTCAAAGAAACTTTATAACACAAAATAATAGACTTACTCCTTACCCCATGAATAGAGTAGCAGCTCAAACTGTGAATCCACCGAGACAGACGGCTTATCATCCTATAGTACCTTACAGAGCTCCTTACAGAACTCCCTCTCCTCACTATCCTCCACCACCTCAACATTCGCACACAAAAAACCAACATCTTATTGATATGTCTTCTCTGGAAAACAGTATCAAAGATATGAAAGACATTTTACGTCCAACTTTGCTCATGATGAGAGAGTACGAAGATTTAAAACACGAGCTTGGCACCGATTTGTCAAAATTTTCCGCTTTTTCAGAAAAACTCTCTCTCAACGTAAAACTTGCGATCTGTAATTTGGCCAAAGCCAACACCGATCTGGTTGAATCTCAACGGAAACTTCTGGACAATCAAGTGACTAGTGTGGTTAGTAAAATCCAGTCTGGGGTGTTCAAAAGCTGGGGTACTTGTTCAATTGTAAATGGAAGATCTACTACGATAAATCAGAATTCAGATGAATCGAATCCCACCGGATCTGATCCTTTGAAAAATGATTCTTCTCCTGAAATTGTCGAGGTCTCTCCGAGTAGTCCTCCAAGGACGCCAGAGCCGAGCACTTCTAAAGTTGAGAAAAGAATTCCAGCGACTCCTTCTTCTACTGGAGATGACGTAGAGGACGCAACCGTCGCTTTGTTTTGTGAAACAGTCCTGGAGGTAAGTGATAACAAAGAAAATAAGGACAACGCCAACAAAGAAAGCCAGGACAAAGCCAACAAAGAAAGCAAGGACAAAGCCAACAAAGAACAGGTGACACCTGGGAAACCTAAACTAATGAAACCTCCAGTCAAAGGTAAATTCAACATCACTGGAAAAAGAAAACTCAATCTCACTGATTCACCCAAAGTATTGCTTATTGACTTAACCGAAATAAAAGAGACTTTCGACGCCTCCTATTGGTGTAGAAAATTTAAAATCAAACCTTGTTGTGTATTACTACACCGTATCAATCATAAAGTAAAAAAGTAATTTGCTGTCCTATTGACTATAGCCAATGTACTTGAAACCTTATCTTACAATCTTTAACCTTGCACCTTATATTCAAAGGGAGGTCACTTTCCTAAGCCTGATGGGAAAAATTAATTAACCTCAGAAATCAGAAAGTTACATATTAAATTCCAGCTGACCACAAATGGTTGGCAACTTCAGTCTGCTCTAAGGCTAAACCAAAAATGTTCTTGCTTTTCCTACTTTCTAAATCAATACTGCAGAATCAACATTAAGAAAGATGTTTAAAAAATCTGTACAGGAGTATCCATGGTCAACGGATGTACTTATTACATTCATATTGGGAATACATTGTAAATATTGTATTTTAATTCAAGTAGTTTTGTACGAAAACAACTTCATCATTGTTTTTCTTATAAAATCATTGTTACAATAACATACCAAGACAATTAATTGGGAGTTAATTTATAAAGGTAAAGGTATACAACTAACAAAAATTTTAGCTATTGTGACTGATTTACTTAGCACAATGACGCATAAGGCAGTATGACAAAAGATTTAATTTATCAAACAGGCCTGAAGTGTCTTCTTGTTCATCGCTCTTTTTCTAACCGAGGTTTGCCTTGGTCGTGGAATTTGAACTTGTGTTGAAAAGAGTTCAACAAGGAGAGCCTCGGTTAGAAAATGAGCGAGAGACAAAAATACACTTCAGGCCCGTTTGATAAATAATTAAATCTTTTGTCATACTGCCTCATGCGTCATTGTGCTAAGTAAATCAGTCACAATAGCTTTACTTTTTGTTCATTGTATACCTTTATAAATTAACTCCCAATTAATTGTCTTGTTTTGTTATTGTAAAAACTGTTGCTGTTATTTAAAAGCAACAAGTATTACTCTGCCAACACAAAAAGGATTCAATTTTTTCTGAATGTCAATATACAGTAGATTGTTATTTAATTGTAGTGAAAGTCTACAAAACTAGTGTGACACAACGTGATTATGATCACAAAACATTTCCAAATTATGTCCAATAGTTATCTAATATCTGGACTACCTATTTCATTTGGTAAAATCGACAAATGAATTTTAAAATCAGAAAAATGTACAGCTGATGTCTATTCAAGCTGATTCTCTTTTTAATTAAAATTAATCTTTAGTCCCGCAACACACATACTGATTTCAGCTGTTTTTCCTACAGTACTAAAGGTTAAATTATATGGGTTAAAATAATTTTAAAGAATCGTTTATCATTCAAAATGTTATAACTAAAGTGATTCATCAGGAATAATCCTTGAATTGACATTATTTGAATTGAAACTTACAAATAACTACTGTAGGCCTAATTCTAATAAAGTTTTTGTTAACATTCAATTTGTATAATTTTTCACTTAATTTTCAGCAAGAAATATAACATGTTTTTCTTTTTAACAAATAGTACATATGTTGGTTTTCAGTTCGTCTAGTAAAAAAAGGAAAAAGGTTGATGATGAAAAGAAAACTTGTAAAATTGCACAATCCACCCATCGATTAAGCTCTAAAATTTTGAAACAAATGTGTAATGGCAGTTGAAGTTAATAAGACTGATTATCCCATTTAAAATCGTGTTATGTTTGAAGAAGTTTCCATTCATAAATTTGTCAGTTATTTATGGACTTAAAAAAACCATATTGGTGTTTTGCTTTTTATTTGAATGTTGTGTTTTTCTACTTAGTAATTAATGTTACAGCTTGTATATATGTGTATAGTTCGGAATTTGTTAACTATGATTTACACATTTCTGTTATTGATTACTTGTTACTGTTTCTGGTTTTAAGGAGATGATTAAAACTCTGTTATCTTTGAATTTTTTGTTAATTAATAATAAAAAAAACTTTGATTCAAATTAAATACATTTTTCTTCAATACATTTTTTACTTAATTTTAATGCTAAAGGTTTGTTATTTTAATTGAATCAAAAACTTTCACAGTTATACATTGTGTAAGGTTTTATAATTGAATGAATAAATAAAATATTTATACCAACAGTAGTGTGAGTGTGGTTCAGCTGAAATGGCAAAAAGTGTAACTTCTAGCTTTAAATATTGCGAGTGACAGTATTAAATGATCTTTTACTGGAATTTTAGTTGTACTCCTAAATGGATTGGCGTTTATAGAGAAATGTCTTGGTTAGTTATTGTTTTAGTTCTTTTTTAACTTTGGAAATATGTATAGTTAAATTTATTTTCTGAATTTATAGGCATCATGTTATAAACATACCAAAATGCCGGGGTCTAGAAGTAGGACATAAAAAAATATGCCACTTTATCAAGCTCTCTAAATGTTTAGTTGTTAAAAACTATATTTATTTAATAACTATTTAATAGTAAGCTCTAAAGTGTTAATTTATTAGATACCATTTGACTAGCCTAAAGTCTAAGTGATACCAAAATTTGTCGCACATCTATTATACCTTTTTAATTTAAAATACAAAATCATTGTGATACAGGAAATTTGATGTTATTATTGGTATTTTATTTAGGTTTAATAAATAAAACACAGCAAAAACTTTGTGTTGTTAAACCCCTTAAGATACACTAATCTTACCACTTTTGTTAAAAGGGCAATTTTTGTAAAAAAGTAAAGTAATTTAATTTAATCCTACGACCAGATGAACCAGGCAATGGTGTCATGGTGGGTTGTTTTTGGTTGTGATTTTTTAAAATTACAAATATTGTACAGTTAATGTGTAAAGTAAAGCTATACCATATCGGTAATGTAATTTGGTGCTGCTTATAAATATTACCATTAGTAATGTGTCGGCTGTTACTTTTTTCGGTTCGGTTTTTATTTGATTGGTTGTATTTTTTTTCTAAATGTTAGCTAAACCACATTAATCAAAACTTTCTTTATAATTTATTTTTGGTGACAGGTTAACGTTGTTACAAGGATTATTACAGGTAAAATCTGAGTTTCTCTAATGTGATGCAATATGTAACTTAATAATCCTAACAACAGTAAATATTATCTACCATAAACGCTCATTATTATGTAGCATTTTATCGCTTATCCTGTATGGTTGTCTGTAGGAAAGCAGTATAACTATAGTAATTATAAATTTGGTGTAGTGTGCAATTATCATTGTCATCATGATTATGACACGTGATTGTGGCTCTATCATGGTCATCTTCCCCCCGTATTGCAGTTAAATTTTAAAATCCGGCAAAAGCGAGGAATCAGCATCTACCGTGATGGGGATAAATCTTGAACGTCCCTCTGAGATTGAAAAGACATTATTGTAACTGGGATGGGGGAAAATTATTCCAAAACAACAATAAACTGAAGCCGACTTTTTCCATCAATTTCTGACAACCAACTTCGAAAACCGACCCATCCTTAATTAGCATTATTGTTTATTTTATATGGACATATTTTTTGTCTTTTGACAGTATGTAATTGTTATTTATTGTACAAACCTATATAAATATGTATTACAAATTATAGATTTTGATTTCTTAACACCTTCTGTTTGTGGACAACAAAAATTACCCATCAAAGTAATATTTGTCTATATCAAGATAATAGAGTAAAGATGTATGGAATGTATCATTTGGACTTTGAAGTTGCTTCCCCCAAGGTCTATTCAGGAGTTAAACTTAAAGGTCAATGCAGGATACAGTGAAACTGGTTATTACATAGCACTTCCATCCTAATATTGCCGTTGAGAGTAATTTCAATTTTACCCCGGGAAGAATGTGAGAAAATAAAAAACTCCACTGAATTTATTTTAAAATGAAGCCATTAACGATTAATTTACAACAAATCCCACTTCAGTATTAAATACGAGGGCTATCCTGAAAGTGACAGACGTTTTAGCCGGGTGCAGTCCATCTTGGCGTCAGTGTTCCTACACTCAGTACGCAACCAGCCGTGGTAGTTAAGCATCATGTCTTCTGTACTTTATACGCAGTGGAGTTTTGAAATGATCACTATAAATCGTAAATCTTGCTAGTTGCGAAGTGCGTGGTCTGATAAGGTGTTTTTGTTAGAAAAAAATTACAAACCTATTAAAATTTATCGCCGGATTTGTGATTTGTACGGCCAAGGAATAATGAGTACAATCGAGTGAGGCAGTGGTGCATTGATTTAAAAAATGGCCGAACCAAACTTCAATACGAGGATCACAGCGGTAGGGCTAGTCTTGTGATTGATGAATTGGTGTCTAAAATCTATGAACAAATCTGAGAAAATTGACGTTTTACAGCCATGGAACTCTCAGAACAATATCCTCAAATTTCACAGAGTTTATGTTATGAAATACTGGTTGGTAAACTTGGATACCACAAATTTTGTGACAGGTGGTTAACAAAATTGCTAACGGAGGACCGCAAAAAACAAAGAGTTGCTGCAGCACTGACATTTCTGGAAGAGTATGACAAAAGTGGAAACCATGTTATTGATCGTATCCAAAACGATATTGTAACTGGTGACGAGACTCTGGGTAAAGCACGTAAACTATGAAACAAAAAGGCAGTCTATGGAATGGGGTCACACACATTTCCCCAATATTATTTTGTAATAATAGGAGCAATACAGGTTGTAGTAGTAGCAACTGAAACTAGAAAGAATTAGCACTTGTCAAATTAATTGACGGTTAAAAATTTCACAGTTGACTAATATAAATATTATCTTATTTATTAATTTTTGCTTTTCAAAACCAAAACGATATAGATTCTGTCTTAATCCCATTGCAGCTAAGATGAGCTTTAATTTTTTTTCTTAACAACTACGCTTTCAGTTCTAGTATGTTGTGTGTGCACGTACATACACACAGGGCCAATATACTTGGGAAGAGCCCAAGTGACAAGCATTGTGTGGGAGTTCATCGAATTGGGCTCAGGGTCTTCCTCTGCTGTTAGCATTGTAGTACATGATGGCATGGGGAGTTAGGAGAAGGGACTAGTGCTAGACACCACTTAAGTGCACCATCGAACATTTTATTTGTCAATTGTTTTATATTTTTTATTTTTCTGTCATTCAAACTAAAGGGTGAAGATGCATGAACAACTCATGTATTGAAATTGCAAGAAATAATAGATACCATAGCTGAACACTGAAAAGTTTCCTACTTTAACTCAAATATACTCAAGCACTCTAAAAATGGTGTTACATAAAGGAATGTTGTAAATTGCTGGAAAGGCATCTTTCTACAGCAACATTTTGAATACCAAATAAATAACAAGATGTTCACACAAATATGTTTTATTTTACAAACATTCAACACAAGCAAATACAATTAGTGTCATGATTCACATACAAACATTTATGAGAATAATTTAAAACCTTAACATAATTACATATAACAAAGTACTAATGTGTTATCTCAAACTTTACTTAAAAGGTAAAAATGTAATATTTCCACTCTGGAATAAAATAAAAATAGTATAGCAACCAAAATGTTTAATACTTTTTCTTTTCTTTTCTCAATAACCTATACAAACATTTCGAACATCATAGTTTTGCTTGGACTCATCAAAGCAACTTAAAACACAAACAATATCTATTTAACAACTAGTATTGACTTAAAATTGAACATTGTTTTTCTAGGATAAAGTTTGAAAACATATCACAACAAATTAAATATAAACCTTATGTTTTGAATATCTAACTTAATTATAATCACCTATACATATATTTTCAAAAGCAAAAATATTATTTGTAAAATGAACTTATAAAACCTGTACAAAATACAAAAATAAAAAGTAAATTTACAAAATCTTGAAAACAAGATTTTTTCCACAAATAAAATTAAAAACTGTACATAAAAAGCTGCATGTTTATAACAGTCACATCCAATATGGATGACTCAGTAGCGAATGCGTTGATCTTTAGCTGGCTGGTTGTACACTTTCAGTGGAGTGTAAGTGCCATTGGCATTTGTGTCTGAAACAATTCATTAACGTACATTAGGTAAAGCTGAGTAGATGGTAAATTAATATAAATTGTACATGTAAAATTTCTCACTTATGGTAAAGCATTAAATTTATTGGCTAGATAAATATTTTCATCAGATATAATTATTTTCCCACTGTTTATAGGCATGCACTGTAAATGCGATACTCCCTGGTGTGGATTAACGTCCTCACTAGTGAGTACTAAGACTAGCCGCGAGTACTACCCTGATTATAAGACCAATTTGTTAATACCAAGGCAAAAATGTTGTTCGGATTCCACCATAAACTGTTGGTCCCTTAATTAGCATTAGCTATACAGTATTGGCTATTATTTAACAGCTGTGTCTAAGGAATATGTCGGCCTTAGTCACTAACGAGAGTACAAGATCGCACTGCTCATCATACTTGACTTTAAATACCTACTTTGTATGGTCGCCATTTTAAAAGAAAGTATTAAAGTACTGCACCTTTCCGTGTGCTGTGGCTTTGTACCATTCACCACCGTATTTGGTTTGTTTTCTAATTGTGTGAGTGGGGCAAAAGGAAGCATTGTAGACGTGATGTGAGAGAATGCAACATTAGGGATTACGGAACTAAAAGTACTACCCTAGACACCAGTGACTAGTGTTAGATGCCACTTCAGTGTTCCATTGAATGTTTCCTCTGTACCTACTTCTCTGTGATCTATGTTTAATGTGTCGCAGACTCATAAATCCCATATTTTTCATTTTGATGGCGCGAAACAAGTGGAGAAGGTCCCTAAGTTTTCTCACAAAAGGCTAAGAAACAAAATAAAGCAAGTTTATAAGCTTTTCAAAGAAAACCTAATCATAATAAGTAGCCGAGAGCTTATAGTGCTTTAAATATGAAAATCACTGGTTCAACTAAAAGTAAGATCAGTTTTAGACCATGCCATTTAATTGTCTTTGGACCATTAATGAAGCTATCTAACAACATGTTAACGTTAGACATTAACAAGTCCAGGATTTGGACAGTTCTCTTAAAAAAAAAAATGGGAACAATGTCAACAGTACAAAGCTCAAAAAAGCACGTTTAACATACTAACCATGAACAGGGGGCTGAGCAACCGATGAGTTGTTCTGTTTCCGCCACTGGTGCTTGAGACAGAAGTGGTAAAGAACAAAGTACAAACACGCAACAATTGCTGAGAGGAAGGCCCCAGTTTTGTATAGAGTCTCAGACAAATAGTCGCTCCATTTGGGAATTACAGTTGGCGTTTTCAGGTTTTCTGACATCAAACCACCAACAATGGCGCCGAGACATCGACCTAAAACATGATTTAAAATTACGCTTGATTGATTAAACTTTCTTTTTTCAGTTATACTTTTGATGAGTGCACTCACATTGTTGTTACCTTTATTACTAGTTTCTCTCTTGTAAGAAATACAATTAAAATTAGTTTAATGATCTTAAGAATTGAATACTCTCAGCAATACTTTTTTATTACTTATATCATTACTTTTTTATATAGATTTTACAAAAAAAATCTTTGCTGAACAATTAACCAAACAATGTCATAGAAATAGCTATCCAAACACTGAACAGTATGTAATTCTACACAGCGGGGCGGCTCAGTGGATACAGTGCTTGCCTGACAATAAGAAGGCTGCAAATGTGGGTGAGCATTTTTTCGTACAAAAATGCTGTGTACTATCGGTTCAATATCGAAATAAGTATCGATATTATTTCGGATCAAATGGGTTCGATTCAATTGATTGATGGTTGAATGAATGTAATAAACACCATTACCGCATCAATACGTGGTTCTGCCATCCTACGGTATTTGTGGTGTAGTGGTTAGAGCATTGGGCTGATAACCAAGAGGTAACTGGTTCGAATACTACCGGTGGCACTAACTTTTTATCAAAGATTTTGCTTAGAATTCCATTACTTCTTAACCGTACATCTTTTGTCAGAATTTGAGAAATTTATAATTTTATTTTATTAACAGAACTATATTTGAAATTAGTAAACCTTCAATTGATTTTTATTATAGATATTATTTAAGTTATCAGCCAGTTTGGTTAGTCAGGTTAGGTTATGACAGTTTGATTTTAAAATAGAATGCTCTCATTTCGTACGTATCACAATAAGCCTCTGACAGGATCTCCTGTAACAAACGGCAACTACAATCGCATCGATAGTATAGATGATGTCGAGATTCGATAGAGTAACGAACAATTAATGATAGTCGCGAAATCGCGCATCGTTTTTAGGCAAAAAATTGCTCACCGCAAATTTTATCCTGAGAAAAGTCTGTAGCTATGCAATGGTTAAATGTACCCATGTGTCCTTGATCATTTTAGATTAAAAAGCTATCCTGGCTAGAGAAACAGCTGATCTTTGTAACAATTCTACAAAGGTCATCTTACTCCATTCCAGGGGCCCATTTCATAATGAACTACAAGTTACAACTTTCCATAAAATTTGCATTAGGCGATCAGCTGATTTACTAATAATATTAGTTTGTACTTTATTATGAAATAGGCCCCAGATCGCATTCATTTTCAGCTTAAAATGCACACTGGAGTGAGTCACTGCTTAAAATATTGATAGTTGATACAAATCCTATTAGATCCCTTAAGTATAAAGACAATGTAAAGATAGTTACCAATACAGAAGAAGGCGATGACAGTGAGTGCTTGGCCGGTGACCAACAGATGACGAGGCACGAGATGGCGCAGATACAAGATGGCCGTGCTCCAGGCTAGCACTAGAGTGAACACCTCCAGCGCGCCGAGTGCAAACTGCGCCAGCACATCTTGGAAAATCAGCAGGCCTGCAGATCATAAGGTAATTTATTTCTTGAACCACAGCGTTTCAAAAGGTTAAAAGGATAATTTGGAGTAATTCAATTAATGTGGTTTGTTTTTCATAAACCAAGTAGTATTTATATGAGTAATACTATGGATTTTATACTTATTAATTTTGTTTTATGAGGTTAATTTCTAAGCAAATTTGATGTTACAGTGTACACATAAACTACGGAGCTATATACGCAAAAACGTCCTTTACTTAAAACACGACCAAGTTCGGTATACTTACAGTCTGTACAAATAAGCATGTACTGTAAATAAAAATTATATTACTAATGTGAAATTCTTGTGTAAACTCTGTTATTTCTTTCCAAAAGCATTTTCATTTTCAAAAAAGTACTTAGTCATTAATAAAGAAGTATCCGTTAACTGTTACTGACCCAATCAAGAGGGCTGATTGATAGAGGTTCTACTGTATATTTTTCCGCATAAAACATTGGTAAAGAGCAAATTTTCCAATTACATACCTGTATAACGAATTATGTAGAATGTGAAGGCCAAAATCAGAATGTTTGAGTGGCCGCAGTAATCCACAACCTTTTCAGAATACCACAAAACCAACACGGATGGTATCAGAGCTAGGACCACTGACTCCCTGAAACAATGGAAAACAAACACAGTTAACAGTGGTGAATAAACTGATAAAAAATGTGTGCATTCAACAGAAATCATTATTCACATCAACTCAACAAGTTGGTGCCTCAATTAAAATTTGCCCATTATGATTTTAAAACTATCAATAGTCAAAGGTTAAGTATAGGCCTACAAAAAATATATTATCTTTCTAAAACATCAAATCACTGAATGTTTTTGGATTCAGTATTATTCAACCTAAACTAGAGCCCTGCTAATCCTAACTAATTGGAATTGGACCATCTTTGGATTACCAATTAGCCAAAACACAAAATAAAGTGTTATAAAAAACTCGTAGGTAAATATATATGTATATATTTTTTTTTTTTATTACAAAGTCTTCTTGACTTGTGAGAAACAAAATTGAAATCAATAAATCATAGTGTTTGTAAAGACCAAGGGTACATTTTTTGTTAGATCGATAATGATTGTCTAGGTTTCATTGGTTGTCCTGGCGCTGTAAATGAAATGGGAAGTTGTAAATTGAATTCTAGTACTCACCAAGGTATGTAAGAGTCGATGGCGCAGCTGAGTAGTCCCAGTAACACCAGGACCAGAGAGAGAGCGCCAACTTGTCCTCCGGCGCCTCTCACTGTGAAGGGTCCAGGGGCATGCAGATGGTAGTCCACTGGAGAGAGGGGTAAGGACCTGGACAGTTAGTTCAGCATAAAACCTGCAGTTAACCTCCTCAAAGTTAAATTAAATACAGTTAAAAACCCCAACATACACAAGTGTGTCAACCTCTGACCACCAAAATTACAGGAACGAACAGAAAAAAAAACAGGCGCAAAACGGATCTTAACAATTAAGGTTAGAAGACCAAACTATTACTCAAACATAATATCCTCCCTCTGGAAGTGTTTATATGACCATTTGCTGTTTAGGTTTACTCTTAGGCCTCTGACACACACTGGCATCAGTCATGCTGCGACACCACCAGGGTCGGTTTAAAAGGTATAAGCATAGTACACAGTCACGCAGGACGCCAAGCAAAAAGGGGGGTCTAACCAGTGGCGTAGCGACAGTGGAGCGAGTGGAGCAGTCGCTCCAGGGTGGCAAGCACTAAGGGGCGGAGCGGCACCAGGCTAGGATTTATTTTTTTTACTATGTTGTCAAGCGTTGTAGGGGCGGAAGGAAGGTGAAGGGGAGGGGATAGGTATGGCCTGTCAATATAATCTGTCAACACAAAAAATAATTATGAAATCACTGAACAGACAAATAAGTGATTACTGTAGACTGTACCGATACTGATTCGTGAGGTTATGTATGCGCGCGCGCCAGTATTCGAGTTGTTAATTTATTAATAAACCACTGTTTCTTTAGAAGTGTTTTTTAGTGCTAATAATGAACTATGAATTCAGTTAAAATATTTCTACAAAGTATGCGAGTGGTGAGGTGGTAAGTTTTTAACAGATAGTTGATCTAAAGCTGCTAGGCCCTCCAAAACCCGATTTAGTTATTACACAATGTCAAAAATCATGTAAAGGTAGTCAGGGATTTATTTTTGTACTGTTCAATTATGCCTTAGATAATGCCCAAACGGGCCTAACTAAGTGCTTAAACGTCACCGACATCTACCCGCCATTTGTAAATTCGCGTCCTTTGCTCAGTTCCCGCTGTTTACGTGCACTTGGTAAAGCTATCATGTTTTGAGGAGATTTCTAAGTAAGGATAAGGTCCGTCCAATGATCTTAATTAAAATTCATGTTTTTATTTTTGAAAACACTAATCGAATAGGTTAAATATAATAATACCAGTTGATTTCCAATTTAAAAAACTCTAGTTACTCCATACCCCACACCCCCCAGCACTGGGGGGCGGCTTGGGCTATCCCTGCTCCAGGGCGCTCCAAACCTAGCTACGCCACTGTGTCTAACACTCACCAATGTTCAGTATCAAAGAAGGAAACTAGAGGCATTGAATATATATAACACTATAAGAATGCGAAACCACAATGCTCGAGGGCGACGCTTGTGGCTCATAGAGAAAGCCTACTTCTCAAAGATTCTATCAGGTTTCGCCAATGCCAACAAAAAGGACTGTACTCATTTTAGGTACATATATATATATATATTACATTTCAGGTTTGAACATCCAAGTAACACAAACAAAAGGTTTCAAATAAAAATTTGAGATACGAATTATTTTTAAAAGTAACAAGTTGTTTTTTTTTTTCATACCATATCCAAACCATAATGCTTAAATAGAGATAGTCAGTCAAATGACATAATAGTAGGCTATACAGTATAATGAAGATTTTGTGAATCAAACATTAATCTGAAAATAGTTAAGTGACTAAAAAAACACTAACCTGTAATATAAAATATTAAAAACAAAAACGTTCATCACAAGAAATCAGCCTTCATAATATCATATCACATTTTTACTTACCGATCAAAAAGGAGAATCACCGATGAGATGACGCTGAGAGCTGCAAAAGTGAAGATATAGTAGCTGTAAAAATGTTGGTGTTTGTCAGGCACTGGATCTGAAGGTAGGAGAAACTCGATGGCGAAGTCTACAGCGGGAGGGAAGAATGCGTAGCCAACCACAGCGTAGATCAACTGACGACACAGGAGAGATGGACTTTCCCTGGAAGCCACAACGAGACAAGCTGCTAATAACGCTATCGCCGTTGTGGGGAAAATGTCAGCTACACTGCGTAACTGCAACAATACAAGGATGTTAGACCACTGGGTATCAGTTATGCTGGTAAACCTTTGAGAAAAGGAATGAATGCACAAGCTAACTGCTTAAAAGTTCCAGTCAGTTGAGAGCACACAAATGATTAACATAACATCACAACTGATTTAAAATTATGCCTTTACAATTAAGGGAGCTTCTTCAGAAGAGAGAGTATAATACATTACACTACTACTATTATTGGCGTTGGATTGGTTAAAATCTACTTGACCTTGTGGATTAGCTGTGTTATCAGCCACTTCATACAATTTTCTAGACAGGCATCCTGGCTAAGTAACTTTTGTATGCAACAATTTACATAAAAAGTGAAAAGTTATTCAGTGGGATTCAACATTAGTACTCCAAGACTGACTTCAGCGATTAGACAATGCTTTTGGCTTTTGAATAAAATTTTGACATAAATCACAGAAACAAATTGTAGGAATCCTCAAATTGTGTAGTATATTATCCTAACCACCTCTAATATAGACAGAAAAAGACAAATGGATGAAGTTGCTTGGTGCGTTGTTGGCTCAGTCAGCAGGGCGACAGACTACGAACGAATCTATGACAGTAATATTGCGTCCTGGCCCCCGCCACTAAATTTTATTAGTACTCTCACATTTCACTCTTGTAATTATTAATTTATGTACTAGTTTAGCTACTCCTTGCTTTGCTGTATAGCTTAGCACAGGCTAGAGTCCTATGTGAACAAGCAAATATATATGTAATATATATATGTGTTAATAGGGGTATAGCCTCCTCTAAAAAAAAGGACAAGCTCAACAATGCGGCAACGCTACACTTGCCAGCCTAAAATTGCCATAGTAAAAACTAAAGTCTAAGCATCAACACCAGGAGACGCAGACGCTCCGAATGAATTACTGCTATTAGGTCAGGACTGCGGCTGCCATTTTTTGTCTTGCCGTGGCTTTGTATAAGAGGAGGTTATAAATATAGAGGCTGACAATTTAAACAAAATTACCAGTAGGAAAGACCAGAAGGTGAATTGAGGGTCTCCAAATGTATGTCGACACTCGCTCTCCAACAGCAGACTCTGGGAGTTGTTGTACGGGTCATCTAGGTCGCAGACAACGGAACAGTTCTCCGATTGATGTGACGGAGCCAGCGTTGGCTGCTTGCACGTTATCTTGTCCACTGGAAAAAAGCATTACCTATTAATTATTACTGGGAATTAATAGTAACTCTACTCTTATAATTGTTACTGAGAGAGAAATTTTGTTTAAAGTGACACTGAGTTTACTCATGACTTTTTTGAAAATATAGCAAACTCTTTATGTACCAGCTGATTTTTATTAATAAAAAAAATAACAGTTGAGCGAGCCACTCACAGGGTAAGAAACTTCGTTGGCAACATGCTCAATCATCAATAAACTATTACATCAACATACTGTCTGCCTCAATCAACTTTATGTTTTTTTTTACCTGGCTGCAACTTTAACAGGAAATGGTACATCTGGGTCTATTTCAATATACAGTCAACTATTTTACTTGATGTGACTAAGAGAGAATTTATTTTTTCACATCAATCACTGTCTTTTAAATGCCGTCTGTGTTTTTCCCCTGTGGTAATCATACAACTTTTGGCCAGAAAAACAAACATTAATGCATAACGGTATATTCCAATTGTTTTCTGACAGTTTTTGTTTAAAGGTTCACGATATCCTGTGTTTTACAAAAACAAACTGTTACAAATAGACTACAGCAGAAATAGACTGTTTCATGTTGCAGAAAATGGATATTCATATTCAGGTCAGATTGTCCCAGCTATTGACAGAGCTCTAATGGTGCAATACGATTGAACTACAAACATAAATTATGACAAATACAAAACGACACATTTTTATATAATACTGGTTGACCAATTGATTATTACACACAACAAGTGGCGTCGGTAGAATTTTGTGTTAGTTCTAACAAACTACAACAAATTTTTTTCTCAATATTCCAGCTTAAAGCCTGTGCTCAACTGCAGAGATTGGATGTCGCTTTGGGACGGTTAGCACAATGAGAGTGTTTTTTTTTTTTGTTAAACCTTTGAGAATAATCCTAAGAAAAATCTTAAAATGGTTAAGTATTTTTCTGGATCCGGGAGACATGAATGACTGTGCTGTTAAAGATCATTTTCTGAGCTGGGCCTGCTAGAGGTATCAAGATCAAGTTATCACACACACTCACATATATTGTAGCTACACCAATGTGATGGGTCCAGTGGAGGCAGGGAGGGAGCCAGAGTAACATTGATCGGAAGCTGTTTGCTGTATTCTGTATATACATGACACACTGACTGTCCATTTTGTTCGAAGCACAAGTGAGGCATGTCAGCAGTAATGTCCCGTTTCACTCGAGGATCCTGCATGGAAACAGCAGTAACGTTAAATAAGGAATAGAAAATAAATTGTGATTTTTTCAAATATATTCAAATTTATCTTACTTAGGAAAATGATTCCTGACTTATCAGTCTTTTTTGTTCTCGCACATACGTAGAAATATTGAAATAGCCACCTTGTTTAGCACTCTATTTTCAGCTCTCCTTAATAAAATTAGGGTAAAATATAAGGTAAATGTGAAATAAAAACTGGCGCAACAATCTCTAAAAAAAACTCAATGGATATTTAGCTACTCTACCTATATTAAGCATAAGTGCCGATTTAATAGATTGCAAGAGGTTTTAGGTTGTAGACAAGGTTCAGGTTTTAAAAGGCACAATCATAGGTTAACCATATTTATTTTGCATATAGTATTTTGGAATACCACCATCATTCTGTGCTGAAGACCAGAATACCTTTGCATGAAAGATGAGAGTGGGATCGATGCTATGATTTAGTTATTCTTTACAACAAAAAAAGGTTTCTTCCAGGACCTACAAACTTACATCAATGTGTCAAGACAGTGACCCACGCTTTTTTTCTAGTGGGAACTTGGTCCAGTTGACACGATCGATTGAGCTAAAAAATTATTAAAAGCGACAACTATAAACCTTTTATGTTCATGAAAATGACTTCTGAAACTATCTGTAAGTCTTCCCACTTTGAGTATCTGAATTCTCAATTTCTAATGGTTATAGGAAGCTTAGTCGTTTATTATCACCAGTGGCAGTGATTGCTGGATGACTATTATAGTGGAGAAAAACAGAAGAGGACAAAGATTCTTATACTGTACAAGAGGGGGGACAGTTTCCTCCATTTCACATTAAAACTGCAAGAAAATATTTTGTCTTTATACGTGTAAACTAGCTGTTCTGAATTGTACACAGTTTTAACTGACTACACAATTCCCGTACGTAGGACGGGCTAGCATCTCGTATTCATTATAATATAAATGAATTAAATCAAGCTATTCAATACTATTGTTGTTTTTTGTTTCTAAACTTCATTGCAAACACTTAAAATCATTATTTCATACCTCCTCCTCAATCTCCTCTTCGCTGGTCTCCCCATAGTCTTCATCGGAGGTATTGTTGGGGGCCGGAGTGCTAAAGAACCCCCCGGGACTGATGGGGCCGTCGCCACAAACGTAGCGGCACGAGCTCAGGAACAATGTGCCTCTCTAGGAAAAAATAAAATGTTAAAGAGATAGGTGTATGACGAGACTAGCTAACTTATTCCGCTAGGTGCTTATTTTAAGTTGTATCATTGAGTTTTGAAGACTGAGGTGAACATCCCTATATGGACCAGCTCTAGCTAGTTTATTATACAATCAGAACAGTTGACCTGGAGACTGAGCCATTTGTAGATTGTGTCACAGAGTAAAATTCTATTTTCTACCATGGTTATTGTCACTGTGATAGGATATGTGACATAAAATATGCCACAGTTTACAGTTTTGTCCTTTCGGTTTGGTGTGGTTATAACATTGGTGTATTGTATTAACATAAATTTGTAACTTACAAATAGTTATATTCATAGACAAATGGGTTCTGTATGAAAATGGGAGAGGATGGTCTTTTTTGATTTTTTTTTTAATTCCAACTAATTTTATACATTATGGACTGACGTTGACATTCTTAAATAAAACACAGAGATGTTCTGTATTAAAGTATCTGGATAGCAGTCCAAACCCATCAAATTATTGTGGATGTGCCGGGATCAACCCGTAATTTTAAATTACCAGCATCACGCATTGTAACTGAAAGCTTACATTATCACTAGGCCAGTTGTAACAAGGCAACTCCTGGCATTGGTCCTGCATCACCACAGAACCTTCAGGAGAACAGAGGAAGGAGACAGCTGGGTTGCGCTCATGAAGGCGGGAAACCTGAGGCACATAGAGTAGCGCTGTGTAGAACACGCCACCGAGTAAGGTGACTACGACGAGCATCGAGCGCATATATCTGCCGTAGCGTGCGGTAGAGCCCTGTGCAGGGACGCCCAGTCGATCAGCCAGGGGTGCTGCTACGAGAGGGCCTATCAGCGCCACCATGGGCGCCACTATAGACACGAGGTAGAGCTCGTCGGCGTGCAGACCAACTTTGTAGCCTGCCTGCCACAGTGCAGGGATCAGGCATCCCAGACCTGCAAACAACATAGGTTAGGTCACAGACTAGAAAACAAAATCAGACAGCTAAAGGTCGTAGCCCTTATGTTAGTTCATGATGCAGATATCAGGCAGCCGGCAGCGCCACTGATGATGATGCGAAAGATCTGCTTTACGACGTTAGAGTGACAAATGGTTTCTCCTCCTTAAATTACTAACATTTTTAGAATGAAATTTTCATATTCATAATCTACAAAAGTTACAAAACATGACAGTCTAAAAATCATGAACATTAAAAATGTTTGTAAATAAATAACTCTACATAAAAAAAAACATATGATCTAAATTGTAGCTTTATAAACTGATTCCCTTCCCCTGATAGTCCAGTCAATCCGTTGTGAAAATCACCCAGACGTGGACAACAATAGTGTCCGAGGAATTTTGTCTACAATTTATGTTTTTTGTGTAGTTGAACCCGAATCTGAAGTTGTTCAACAAATATTTCTTGATCGTTCCAAGATATTTACAAAAAATAGCGAAGTTTTAGCAGTGTAGTAACTCAAAGTAGTACGGTCACTGTTGTCGGTGAAGATATCGATCTTCTGGTGCTACTAGTGGGCTTAGCATCACCAGCCAACGTATTTCTATTCAAGCCTGGGAGAGGGAAAGCCAAACCACTTTTGTACCGTCCTCAGAGCCTGGTCAGTGAAAGGATCGCCCAGAACATCCTTTTCGTTCATGCAGTAACCGGCTGTGACACCACGTCCGCACTATACGGCCAAGGAAAGGCTAAGGGTTTGAAGTTGCTGGACAAACACCCCCAGTTGTCTTCCCAGCTAGCCCTTTTCAGGACACCTTCCCATGACCCCACCTTTAACCAGGACTCTATTGAGCTAAAATTGCTCTATTTTTTGCGAATATCTCGGAAAGCTTAAGAAGTATTTGTTGGACAACTTCAGATTCGGATTCAGCGACTCAAGAAACATAAATTTCTGACAAAATTCCCCGGGCACCATTATTGTCCACGTTGGATACGAATTGACTGTACTATCAAGGCACATTCAATGGTACCGATGTTGCTCGAATTGGAACAATCGAAAAGTAAGCTAAATTATTAATACTATATATGAGGTTGTCCAGTAGTCGAAAGCTCTGGCAAAAATATGTAATGTACAGACTTCTATCTTTGACTATTAATACAACTTCATTATCCAATAGTAAATGCTTCTGTATTTTCATTTCAAGGTGTAAATAAAACATGTGATTGGAATTTCTTATATTTTTGTTTTGATTTTCTGTTTATATTTTGTTGTTATTTTGTCACCAGCATGGCAAATTATAAGGCCAAAGTTAATTACTTTTAATTTTAAATACATTTTTGTTCTTATTTTTAAAGCGGTTTTTGCTTCCTTAGTCTATGATTAAACATACTCCTTATTTACGCTGCAGATTGTCTTTGAGGACCAGCTGAAGGCGGATTTGTTAATTTTGGTTTTCCTATTTAAATAAAACTGTATCAAAAACAAGGCGAGTTTTACAAGTTGATACTTATTAGCCAGTGAGTAAAGCTGGATTGTTCGAAAGCACGACAAACAACTCCCGCCAGCAATTCCTCCGACATGGTCAAGTCTAATCTGAATTATTGTTGTTTGTGCACAAGCAACTGTAAGGTGAGTGAAATTGGATTGGATACTCATTTTGAGTGTAAGATCAACCTAAAACGCTAGGATCCAATATGAAAGAACGATAAAAAAAGCATCGCCAAAAACACTGTTCGGCGGATTTACACTGGGCAACTTAGTATTTATAGTGCTTGATGCGTTCATAAACTCAAGACTTCCTTAAAAGCGACTATAGGCTCTGAGCTCTAACAATTCGTTAACAATGTAAGGTATAATCATAATCTGTACATTACATATGTTTGGAGTTTTTTTACCACTGGACGACCTCTAGTATTGTTAATTCTGTAAGCGATTTAAAAAAATCAAAATTGTGAGAGTTTGACAGCTCCCAGGATGATGGGAGGGGGCTCAAATTAAAGGTGTTGGTCCCAGCGGGCCGGGAAAGTAACATATTATGTCCAAATCTACCAGAAAATGAGAAATAACGAAAAATATCCTCCATTTGAAATGCATTGGAAATGTATTATCATTTTTATTCTACTTTTAATTCTGTTGATATAGGGCGTAAAGTTTGTTTACAGCCTGAGGATTGGTAGGGCGAGTGCCGGCCAGGTATCAGTGACCGCGGTTCCACGGTGCGGCGGTATGGGGGTGGCATTGGCAAGATCGACCAGGGCGGGTTGAGCAAAATTTGTTTTAGGGATAAAATGAAACTGTTATAACCTAAACTAGCCAAACTTTCGATATTATTCAATCGATATTAGGGTAGCCCAGTTAAGAAACTGTACCCGTCTCCGTTACAACCTGCCTACTACACCCTCTTCCACTAATACCCCTCCCATGAATCACTCTTACGCTATCTGCGGAGTCAAACGGTACTCGGGCCTATCTGACGATTTTGACAGTTTATAATCCCCACGAAAAAGCTGATCCACTCAAACTCAGGTTCAAAAACTTTTACGAAAACGATACTTTCTCATTTTCCATTAGGATAATAGTATCCATATTCTTAAAATGGTTTACAATACCTGCATATAGTAATCCTTTGTTGCTGATTTTGGCAACTAGTTTCGGTTCATTATTGAACCCTCTTCAGGCCTCAAGGTGTCAAATAATCACTTCATTCGAAGGTTGTTAATAACAGAGTTCAATAAATAAGACATATACAAAACACGATACACTGAACGGACACACATTACAAAAAACACGAAGGGACAATGACATTGACAATCGATCGTGACCGGGCTGAGGTAGGTAAAGTCTAGACTAGCGGTCAAAGTGGTCTATGACGTTTGTCTCTGTCTTCTTATTTACAATACAGCTATTAGGATACTGGAGGGGAACAATGAATGAATGAACACGCACCGGTGATAAGAAGACAGAGACAAACGTCATAGACCACTTTGACCGCTAGTCTAGACTTTACCTCAGCCTGGTCACGATCGATTGTCAATGTCCCTTCGTGTTTTTCGTGTTTTTTGTAATGTGTGTACGTTCCGTGTATCGTGTTATGTATGTCTTATTTATTGAACTCTGTTATTAACGACCTTCGAATGAAGTGATTATTTGACACCTTGAGGCCTGAAGATGGTCCAATAATGAACCGAAACTAGTTGCCAAAATCAGCAACAAAGGATTACTATATGCAGGTATTGTAAACCATTTTAAGTATTATACAGTAATCAGGAGGCTAAACAACTATTTTTTATCCATATTCCACTGAAGGTAAATAACCACATCTGTAAAAATAAATAAAATTAACTTAAAAAAAAAATTGTATAGCATGAACATTCACATTACACGGCAATTCAAATTCCATATTTCGAACAAATGAAAAGTCTAAAAATATAGTTCATTGAAGTAGGTCAGCTAGACAGTTGATTCTCGACGGAACTACAGATGCAGGTGAGGTAGCGGCACAGCAACTACCAGCATTGATAAGAGCAAAACCCGCAGGTCAATGACTGACTCGCGGCCTATAGCCTTTGTTGTATTGACTGCACGAAGTCGTCCAGCCACCTCCGTATATGGGAGTAATCACTGGTAATACAAGTACTGGACCCTCATAGACTAGCTGGGCCGCTGGGTGAAACGATCTATTGATTCCGGCGTTTCATGCACCCGGATAACTTAAAAGTCGGGATAGATTATGAAGATTCATTTTATGGCTCATGGACTCTTTTGTGACATTCACTTTCACTAGTCTTAGTATTTTCGTCAACCAAATTGTTTTGACTCGTTCCGTTGCAAGCGAAATCGACAAAGCTTTCAATACGATAAAACATTCGGCAAATTTAACATTTAAAAAGAAAACGGACAAACAGTGTAATCACGACTAATCAATCCAGGCGAGCAGACTGCTGGTTTCGTGATTCGTTAGTGTTTTGTGCCGCGCTCATATAGCCTAATAATTTGCATTTTATTTTGATGTTGTGACAGTTATTAATGTTGAAAAAGCTGCGCTTTCAACTAAACTAGTCAGCAATATTTTACTGACGATAATTTTGTATACGAAAATCGAAATATGAGTCAGATATGAAACCAATTTCCTTTATATTGTAGTCTATTCTTTTAAAATTTCACTCATGGATGGATGCCCAAACATTTCAAACGTACATTTTTTATCAAATCTGAAACCACGTGTAATTGATTATTACAGCAAACTATTAAGGGAAGCTGAAATAATATCAATAGTAATAACTGTCTAAAAACTTAAAGAAAATACTACGAACACATAAAAATACATACAAAACAAAAACAAAAATCAAACATTTAAACAAATCGCGGTTGTGTTATTTAGGACGTGTAATAGTTTATTTTTTTAATGGATGTTAACATTTTCTGAGGTGGTATCTAGATTACCATCGGCTTAGTAATTTAATTAGTTTAAAATGTTAAACCATAATTCAAAAACGTTTTCAAAAAAAAAAACACACACAAATTCATGATCAACTCATGGGTAGTGTAGGTAGTTTTAGCTTAACTTAATACAAGTGTTGTTATTTCAATAATTTATGGAGTAGGAATATATATCTAGACAAAAATGGTAAAACTACAATCTTAATTAATGAAGTCACCAAAGTCACAGTATCTTCGAATTTCTGAGACTTTTATGTCTTCTTCGAAGCGGAGCTACAGTCAGTTAATGCTTGCTAGTCCACTATTTAGAGACGAGATATATTTACTCACCTCCGAAGAACAAGAAAAGCAGACATTTCAGCGAGATAAGATTCAGGTTGACTGGGGCCATGTTGGGAGAAATGCCTTGGACAGATCACAGGTAATGTAGACTAGGACTACATAGCTTCATCTGAAACAAGCAACGGAAAAACCTTAAATTTATTTTAAAAACCTCGTAAATAAAAAATAAGTAGTTGAATAAAGTCTGAGTCAAATGGTTCACATTTGACATGCGTCATTTCATTAGCATCGCATCCTAAAAACACACTCCAGGGTACACTTACATCCATTACCTTTATACTCCGTAATATGACATGTAGACAATGATAGAGCTGAAGTAGTATAAGAAAACTTTAGGATGGATAGACGTGCCGATGTCTTTTTTATTATCTGTATCCACGTATATTTTATTATTTACAACAGTGTCGGTTCTAGGACCTTGTCAAGGGGGTCTTCTACACAAGGGCACGAGGATGTGTAGGAGCCCTCCTAAGAAAATGAAATGTTTGCCATTGTCAAAGCAATTTTGGAGACTTTTTCCAAAATGGAGAACTGTTTCCAAAACCTCCGTTACGTTTTTATGACACAATGTTAAGTTATATTTTCAGGGTCCTGGGAACCACCACAGATTTTGCGACTGTTGAGGAATTCAACAAAAATAATATAGCTCAAGGTATATATTACCAACAAAGTAAAAAGCATTAAATCCACGAGCTTAATCGTAATAATGAGTTTTTATACAACAATTTTAAAATAAAAATAAGTGAAATAAATGTGAACTATCGAATAAGTTTATCTTGTACAAAAGTGAAAAACGTCAAGCAAAGAAAGTATAACCAGTGCAGCTTCTAAATTATACTGAGTGACTGACCACGAAAATTTGTAACCACGCTAGAAAAATATGTGCACAATTAATTGGGTGTTATAAAACCATCTTAAAAATCTGGAGCACAAAAATAAGACTGACGTAATGGTGGAGAGGTCAACACAGTAATTTGTGACTGAATACGTCATCAAGTACCAACACGCCCACATTCATTCATATTACATACCTCGGTGGTATCACGCCACATCACAGACCACATACCACATGTTAGATTCACTCAAGTATATATCAGCATGGCCTTCATCCGACATCCCGCCCACATGTATTCATACCTCGGTGTTAATACCACGTGTGTGTCTCTGAGGACATGTTCAATTTCCAGCCCTTTCACATTCTTTCATAGAATAAAGTTGTGTTTGTTTGTTGGTATGTATGGTAATGGTCCGTTTATGTTATTTGAGAAGTTGCGTAGATTTTCCATTACGAATGTTAAAAAAAAAAGTTTCACGACGTTTCGAGGATCTGTAATCTCATCCCATACTCAGGTGAACTAGATCCTAAAACATTATAAAACTCTGTAGGGGTTGTTTGTTTCCTTCTGGGATTTTAAATCCTTGTTTTGACTACCAACCTGTTCAGTTATCTGTGTTTTCATTTGCAATTTTACAGTAAGAACTGGGTTTTTGTTATTTGTTTTATCTTGTTGTTTGATCTATTTTCTCACCTGAGGACGGGATTCGATTTTATATCCTTGAAACGTGTCGGAAAGTTGGATTTTTACTAGCTATGATGGAAAATATCAGCAATAACAAATTTCAATCATTAACAATGCTATCGTTACATAAAATCCTCCGCATTAAACTATTATTGAATGAACGAAGTGAATTCTCATACATGACAAAATGCATCTCTTTGGGACGCAATAGCCTTAGAAATACTATGTATATCCAACTTGAAGTGTTGCACAAAGATTTTATAGCATAATATCTTGAGAATATCAGTTGTTGAAGAATATTTATTCTGTAATAATTATAAAATCTTAAAAAAACCATTTTAATTTTCCCCCATAAGAATAACATTAAGAGCTACCTTCTTCTTCTATTTTTTTGTTTACATTTTACAAGCAACAATTTTGTCGTATATTTGAGACACAGAGAACGACCAAAGTCTCTTGTTTCTTCTGTCCATGGAGTATACAGGTCTGCTTAAGAAATCTTTGAATCTTTCATTCTACGGTTTCTAAAAAAATAACAATTGGTCTACTAAAAGAAATGGGGAATTTAAAAGATATCCACATATGACATAAGTTTATTGAAATCAATGAAAATATATAGTTAATTTTTTTTAAGTTTTTACAAGTTGAAGTCGTTACAGTGTCGTGTCACGTGTCAGTCAGTGTCGTCAGTAGCCATGGTATGGTTGTTTTGTAGGTTATGTTATTGTTATTGTAAGACCAGTGACTACAGACGTTGTACAGACGTTGGTAACTGAGTTGGAGCTATTCATTATGTTAATTTTCAATATTAAAATTACAGCTTAACTAGATCTATTAGTAAGTTATTGCCTTTTCAAACATTTTTCTTTTTGTCGGATCTTGGTTGTCTGCTGTTATCCGGTAGGTAGGCCTAGGTAAGAGCTCTCTGAGTGATTGATGAAGGTTTAGGGGTTTGTTTTACTTTTAAGTCCATCTAGACCTACTCAGCCTCCCTAAGACTAATAAGCATAACTTAGTAAAATTCTCTTTGGGTAGGGTTTATTTCTTTAGTTAACTTACAGTTCCGCAGAGGACCTGCGAATGCAATTTATATCTTAATCGGTTGAAATGGATAAGTTAGTTTAAAACTCTCTTTAGGTACGGTAGGGTAAGTTAACTTAAGTTCCGCAAAGGACCTACGAATGCAATTTATATTTAATCGGTTGAAATGCATAAGTTAGTTTTAAGTTAAAACTCTCTTTGGGTAGGGTAAGTTAACTTTAAGTTCCGCAGAGGACCTGCGAATGCAATTTATATTGTAATCGGTTGAAATGGATAAGTTAGTTTAAAACTCTCTTTGGGTACGGTAGGGTAAGTTAACTTAAGTTCCGCAAAGGACCTACAAATGCAATTTATATTTAATCGGTTGAAATGCACAAGTTAGTTTAAAACTCTCTTTGGTTAGGGTGAGTTAACTTACAGTTCCGCAGAGGACCTGTAAATGTGATTTATAACTTAGGCCTATCTTATTCGGTTGTAATATTGATAACTTTTGTAGCGATTATTATTCGGTTTAAAAACTTATATCGCTAAGTACCTACTAAAAATTGTTGCTGCACTTAAGTAAGTTAAAATATCTGTCCTACACTCATTCAAATGAATATATCAATTATTTCTTATGTAGGGCCTACCGGTACTTCATTTTATATATCAAGTTTGGTTAGCCTAACCTAATTAACCGAATAAAATAATCAATATACTTAGGCCTATTGATAATTTGCATTCGAATGAGTGTAGGACAGATGCTAAAGTGCAGCCAAAAATGTTCCCAATTTAAACATTGAATCGAGTTATAAACTGTATTGCTGTGTAAGTTTGTATTGCTGTTAAATTAATGTAAACATCTATCTGAGTTAAGTGAATTAGAGTTTTTATTGATGTTTTGTAAATGAAACTAGGCCTAACTTCACTAAGTAAGTTATTGAATAAAAAACAAAATATATTTTATGAAAGTTAACTTAAAAATACAGAAACAATAACCAAAACTTATTGATATGATTAGTTATGAGACTAGACCTCATAAATCAACTTAGGGTTCCGAAATGTAGTAATTTCTTTCTTTTTTAGACATAAAAATTTACAAAAATGATCAAAAAGAAACAACTTTATTAGGCTATTTTAAGTTAAATGTTTTTGTTATCTTAAGCCTATTTTTGAAGCAAATTTCCCATTATACGGAATAAGCAAAATGCTGTAGTACTCATGGTAAGACCTGAGACATGCACCCGGACCTATTTGCTTTGTCATTCTGAGGTCCCTAGAGGCCAAAAACACCATTCGTTCGAATTCATTTTTATGTGTGTCCGTTAACACGATAACTCAAGGCAAAAATGATCCACTTTGATGAAATATGGTATGCATCTATTCGAACGAGTTCACGAACCAGCATGATCAAACTATGGGAACAGGGGTTATGGGGGTTTTATTGGGTGAAATTGGGGTTTTTCCTTTATTGACTCTGAAACATACAATTTTATTTACAAACAATTTAGTAGGCCTAAGTTTATACTAAAGCGTTATTATGGGCATAAAGGTTACAGAGAAAATTTAAAAAAGCTAAATAAAAATATTCATTAGGCCTACTCATGGAGAATAAACATACAAAAACACTTTTTTAGTTTTACCGTACCCTCCCGATTGCAGCAAACCTAAGTAGACTCACTAAACCAATGTTATTTAAATAGGGAATAAGCCTACTGTAACATAATTGTGATATTTTAAGGAGCTATTTAAGAGTAAATCCAATCAGGCAAATGGAAATTCACTTAATCTGCAGGTTTTCTGCGGTGGGGGTTATTTAAATCATAGGCCTATGGGAAATAGTTATTTGGGAAATGTTTTGGCACTAGCTATAGGCGAGTACCTATGGAAAGTATTTCGAGTGCATGAAAGGCAGTTTGCATACACATTACACATTATATATTTCCTACAGTAACTAGGCTATAAAGCATAAATGATTAGTCTTTCAATCACTGTGCCACACGTTTTTAGGTTCACAGAGGATACGCATCCGGTAACCGGACATAGATTAGGCGTCCGGCAGTGACGACACTGGGTTGTGGGGGCCCGGAACGCCATTTCCACAACGATACGATGTACTGCCATCGGTGTTCGTGGTGTAGTGGATAGAGTGCTCGGCTGATATGCAAGAGGTCCCTGGCTCGAATCCCATTGGTAACTTTAACTTTTTGTCAAAGATTTAGCTTAGAATGCAATTTTCTTCTTAACTGTTCATCTTTAGTTAGAATTTTTGTCATTTATAATTGTATTTTATAAACAGAATTTTACCTTCATTAGATTTTTTCATTCTCAGCAAGTTTGGTTGGTTAGGTTATGTTATGACAGTAACTGCCGGATGCCTAATCCACGTCCGGTTACTGGACGCTTATCTTCTGCGTTTTATGTTATGTTAAATCAAATCCAAAAATTGAACGAAATGGGAAAAACATGCACGCTGCACTAGCTGATCGTAATCGCAATATTTTTAAGTGTTGCCCACTTATTTTCAAGCGTACACGCTGTTTTGTGTTGTTTGGTTGGAATAGGCTAC